CCCACAGGTAACCTGGAAAAGCCCATTTACAGTAGGTGCTGGTTCTCATCTCAGTCTGTGTCCTGAAGAGGCACGTTGGAGGCATTACTATGGGCCAGAGGACTTGTACTTCTTCCCTCTGCAGCAGAAATGAATGGAAACAGGATTTCTCGCCTTTTGCCTCTACCCTTATTTGTAAGAACACCACTGAACGTGAGCTGCAGCCATGGCCTTCCGTCAGCTGGAAGTGGTTTCCTGAGTGAAGACGCCCAGGGAACAGCACCTGGGTCTCTGACAGTGCCAACAACCTGAAGGGCTTGAAGCTCTCCAGCTGAAGTTAGGAGCTGGCCAGGAAAGCTTCAGTGTCACAGGTGAGGCTGCTGCTACAGCAGAGTCCTTGCAGACAGAAAGGAACACCTCTGGTTGCTGCCCCTCTGGTCCTTCTGCTTTCAGTGGCCGTAAGAAAGAACGGCCAACACACAACCAGTAAATTTCTTCCCAGCAAACCCCTTTCTTCCCAGTTACACAATTCTCATTCATTTCCTGCTAGCCCATTTCACAGTACTCACACTAAATCTCCCAGCAGCTGCTGCCCCTGACCTTATTCCTTCCCTCCCTTTGTCTGCTCTGACAGGGCTGCCACAGCTCTGCCTTGTTCTCCACCCTGGCTCACCACACCAAAGCCAGACAAAGGACAGGGGAAAATACACATTTAGCAGCTGCAAACAAGCCACCAACTCATTCTGTGCCATCTCAGTGTTTTTTCTTCAATAAGTAGCAGAAATGGTTTGTTCTTCCCCAGGTATGGAGCTCTCAGAGACAGGATTACTCTGAAAGGTACTGCTGGCAGGGAATTAATGATTGCTGTACATAAAGGCACCCAACACTTGCCAAGCATGATTTCCTAGTTATTTACACTGAGACTAAATATAGATCATCCTTTTGTGAAGTATCTTTCCTGAGAAAGTATAAGGAAGAAGTTCCCTAAAGATGCCCTGGTGGCTCCAAAGAAATTAAGTTTGGGGTGAATTAGATGTCGAGTGGAGATGTTGAGTTCTCAAAGAAAATCCACTTGCTATTGTCAAGCCTTTGAGTAAAAGCTCTGATGTGTAGATGCTCAGAAGAGAATTGGTAAGGGCTTTGCACTGCTGCAAAGGAAAGGAAACTTTGAAAAAAAGTGTTCTGAATGCTTTCTGATTGATTGATTGAGAAAAATTCTTAATTCACATCGATATTTCTCATGAGGTGCATTAGGATATTAGGAAGGGAGAAATGACAGCTGCAGGGATGTTGCTGAGGTAATTTGTTAGTGATGGAGTCATTTTTTTTCTGTCCTGGCAGCCTGCTGACTCAAATGGCAATGTTAATAACCCAGACAACACGAGGAAAAAGCAAGCAAGCCTTGGCAGGGATATGTGCTCTTATCAAATCTGTGAGGGCACACTGCCTTTGCTTCCAGAGCTGTAAGGAGGAAGCGGCTTTGTTAAGTCACAGAAAATCCTAGCAAATTCCTAGAAGGGGCAGTTCTCACAAACATCCCAGGATATGCTACAAAAAGTGTTCACACCAGTAGAAAAACTCTGCAGCTCTGATGGAGAATGCCACAGAAAACGGTATCAGAGGGTGGTGCAAAACCAGTTGAAATGTTCATAGTAAAAAGGACAGAAAGGGAACATTTGAAAAATGAAAACTGAAAAAGTAGGTGAGTGTAATCATGGAAAAAAAATCAATGAACCACAGTGCTTCAGCAGATAGAGAAGACTGACACAAAAAAACCTTGCTACAGTCAGTGAAGTTAAAAAGCATTCAGTGAGAAAACATTATTAGCCAGTGAAAGAAGTATCTTCAAAAGAATCAGTGACAGTACTTCAGGCAAGAGTAGCAGATGATGAACAGTGATAAATGAGTAAAATCTGAAAAATTTAGGAAGTATTGTGGGAAAGGAAAGAACTATATTATCTTTTGGCTAAGAGAACTGAAAGCAAAAAAGGAAGTACAGTGGCATGAGTAAGCAAAGTGAATGCCAGGATACTGATGAAGACATTCAGAGAAGAATGATGTCTAACTGGAAGGCATCAGAATTGGACAAAATTCACAAGCATCCATTAAATATCTTTATCAACTCATCAAATATCTTTATCTCAAAACACAGGAAATGCAGCAAAAGGCTGAAGGGATAGAGTACATTTTTGAAAAAAAGAAAAAGACAAAGGGAAAGAAGGAGGTGGCATCCTAAAAACCTGCAAGTGACTCACCAGTTATCTGAGAGCTCCGTAATGAAACAATCAGTGAAAATCAGAATATTTTTTGATGGGGAGCATTTGGCAGATACCAGAACAGACAAGGGCCAAGATGCTGTTTTGATAGATTATGCAAAAGCTTCTGAAAGTGTGTTATGGAATGGGAATCCAGAAGCACCTGGGAAAGGAAGTGCTTTTGCAGCAATTTGCAGGGAGAGAGGAGAGGAGAGGAGAGGAGAGGACTGTGAAGGATTATTTTCACAGTAAGACACACTGAGAAATATTATTTAGTGACAAGAGAGGAAAGTCTCTCTCATATGTACTTAATAAAACAACTTGAAATTACATGGTCAGTAGGAGGCAAAAAAAATCCCAGTTAAAACTGTAAGACTTCCTTCTTAAGGAATTAAATTTTTTATTTAGGTAGAACAAGCCTATATACCCAATAAGTCCTGTTGAAAATATCACAGGAGATCAAAACAGGTAATGGTGAAAAAAAAACCTGAAAAAACAGCACTAAACATGATAAATGTTAGAAATTCTTCAAAAGATTATGATAAACACCAAAGGTGGCTTTAAAGAAAGAGTGCTTTCAGAGACATGTACAATTCCTAAAGGTATTTCAGCATGCAAAATACATTAAAGATAATCAACATATATGCCATCCACTGCAGTGAGAAATGGGAGCCGAGGGAATTGCACGGCACGCCAAAGCAGAAGCAAGCCCTGAATTAAGCAATAAATATGAACATAGATGAGAGAAAGCCTTTCTGTCGATCCAAGGATAGAGAATAGTCAAGGATATTGCAGAGAATGAGCATATGGTTGCAGGAAGCTATATCAGAGGGTGGATACTGTCTGACTGGGTCTCAGGCAGCGCTCCAGGACCAGAGAGGAAAAGGGTCCCTGTAACTGTCAGCCCTTGGACAGACAAGACGCAGAGTCAGGGTGGATTGGGGAGAGGCTACATGGCTTTGGGGTCACTTTTGTCCTGATATATAAAGCACCAGCTTTCCACTGGCATGCCCATAATATGTTCCTTGCACACATTAAATGTTCCTAAGGAGGCACTGCTTCTGGTAGTTATTTGAACACATCTTGAGTAAAGAATATTTTTTTTTTTAGCGATGTCAACAACACTGCAAACACACTTATCTGACACATGCGTAGCTGTGTTTCTGCAGCTTTTGGCTCATCTGTCCTTGTGTGACCTGCAAAGGACTCCAACCTCATCTTCTCACCTCCAGTGACCTTGTGAAATTGTGACTGCCAGAGAAACCACAACTCACGGCATGTGAAACCAGACTATCTCTACTACTACTACTACTACTACATCTCATGATCCCTCTTATGCCCTGCTTTATCTCCACATCAGCATGAATACATCCCACCATTCTACCTGCTATCTCTCCCTTTCCCTACCTCCCCTCCAGCTTTTGCCTCTTACTGGCAAGCAATGCATACAAAGTAAGGGTGCATTCACCTCATCTTGCAATCCAGCAGAGAGACAGCTGACAGCTGCAGCAATCTAAGCAGGAAGGTAAATTCAGCCTGGTTAGAGCTAGCTTGAGCCTTCAGCACTGCTGGACCATTTTTTCCCTCACTTCTCACCCACAATTTAGTTTCTGCTTGAACCCCAAGGCCATCAAGCAGTACCCAGTGGACCTGCATGTTAATCAACAACAAGCAATAAATTAGGTGCTGTTGATGAGATGGCACTTTTTTACAGAGCAGAGACTGCAGACCCTGTAACATGGTATCATGTCCACTTAGCACAGCACTCACAAATAACATTGAGGAAGGAGAAGAATAGCAAAAACATAATGCAGACTTCATCTTTTGGGCCAGGTTCACAAGTAATCTAAGCAACACTGATATGTGTACCAGCTGATGATATGCTCTGTTAGGTACAAATGCTCCAAAACTCCTGCACTGGACTACTCATATCTCCAACGCACCGAGAAATTAAATAGGGACTGTCCTTATAAAACTGAGCCAGGCTTTGTGCCAGTTGACTCACAAGTAATGTTGGAAAGATTAAAATAACACATAATTGCACCAGCTCTCTAAATCTGACCAGGGCTCAGCGGATAAATGTCTTACCTCATTACTTTTAAATGCTCTATCTCAATCTGGTTTAAAACAGAGCAGGGGCTGTGAACTGCCAATCTGCTGTACTGTTAAGAGAACAGAAATACCACTGCAGATTGGGATGTAGGCTCCAGCAAAGAGCTGTGGCGTAGAATCTGGCTTCCCTTTACGGTCCCCTGCTCCTCAGCTCACTTGCTTCCAAGGATCATCACTTCACCCAGTGTGACTGTGTGTCAGCACCAGTTGAAATGATCCCTTTTCTCAAGAGACAGCATTTCTGTGCCTGAAGTGCAATGTTATTTATACATTACAGACCACATTCTGGCTGCCCAGCTCATGCTGATAGCTCCACCACCACCATCACTGAGGAGTACCAGCCAGAACAGCGGCTTGCCTATCTGAGCCCTGCTCTCAGAGAAAAGTCATGCACACCTCATTTGACTTTCAAGTAGGTGGAAGTCCCAGTCTGTGCAAAGAACAGCCAGAGCTAGCTGGAGTCAAATCAGAAAGAGCAGGAAGAGAGTTCTTAAGGAGACAGTTAAAAATGGGACAGAAGCCCTGTGAGAAGCCCCAGACAAGAAGTGGAGCATCACTCATCTACATCTCTATTGATTCTAAATTACCGATGACGTATCTGGGACGTAAAACAAAGGAGACCTTTGGGACAATTGTACAAGCAATATCAGCAAGCACTTCATGTAAGAATTAGTAGTCTAAGACATCTCTGTGCCAAATTTCCATTCTAACTCCATGCTCTGCATGGCTTTTCTGACAAATGCTTACCTCTTTTAACTTGTCCAGCTCATTTTGCAGCGTCTGCTTGGATACTTCCACCTCAATGATTTGCTGCCGAAGGACTTCATTTTCATCTTCTGCTTTGACTCGTTTCTCCTCCACACTCTCCAGCTCATGGTGCAGTCTGACAGAAACATCTTTGGCTACCTGGTCAAAAGAGCACGAATGCATGAGGATCATCCACAAGGAGCAACAGCTAGGGTATGTCTCCTACAGTAAGAAGCACATGACAGCCCTGGACAGCCAAGAGATTTTTAATTCAATTATGACACTGTTGATGGAACACTCCAAGCCTTCCAAGTACCAAAATGAATATTCATTTCTAATAAAGGAATCCAGAATGAAAATATATTTGATTACCCATCTCCAGCTCCCTCTCCACATTATGCTAAGGCAATGTCATGAACAGCAGGAGGAAACAAGCAGGCACCAAACCGCCCATCAAAGTCCCAGCACATCACACAGATAAAGCCAAAGACAAGGAATTGTGCTGTAATGCTGACGGGCCATCCATCAAAGCAGTGTGAGCAGCAGTCACAGCCACACAAACTGGCTGCTCTAGCAGCAATCACAACTAGGCAAGAGTGATATAAAAGAACAGAAATATATGCTAGCTTAGGTTTTCTGAGTCCAGCCTAAAAAGAATAGATATTTACTCCAAAAACATCTATAAAGGTGATACATCATACAACACAAGGACTTATGGAATTACAAGAAGTCAGTAATAAAAACACTCAATATCTCTTTCATTGAAATCTAGGTACAAGATTTTTACTGAGTAATGTATCATTGCTGTTGTTATAAGGTTATAATTAGGTTTCCATCATAAAAGAAAAAATGAGATCTGACATTTTAAAAGGTTTGATGACTTGATATGCTACTCTCATTTCCACTGCTGACAACAAATCATTCTGGTTTCAGAAGGTTTTATGTTTTGCACTTATAAGTACAATATTCTTAATAATTCTAGTTGCAAGCAGTCCTCTCTACAGAAGATATTTTAAAAACAGCTGCAAGATAGCAATATCAAGAAAGATGAGTAAAGCTAGATAAACATCATGTCTACACAAAGCTTTACTTGGTCTTGATGGAAGCATTTCTGAAAGATACAAAAACTGCTTCAGTATTAATATAATTTTGACAAGCATTTGTGTTTGTAGGGAAGGAGCATTTTGATTCTGTATCTGCCCTGCAAAAATATTATAACACTCTGTTCCTGTTACAAGTAACTCACTAGACACCAAGAAATGCACCTTAGACTATTTTTTCCCAGTTACTTTGCATAAGCAAGAAGTGAAAAGGAAGGAAACAGCATGAGCTGGAAAAGGCATATCAGGTTTTGTTTACACAGTATTGCAAAGCTAAGGTTTTCAGTAAAACCAGTAAATCAAGACCCTTTAAATCTTTCAAATGCAGAAATGTAACTTGACTGTGTTTCTTTCATTTTGAATCTGAACACATGTTTTTTTACTCACTGACACATCTTTTTATGGCGATGAGCTGAATATTTGCTCTCCACCACAGCAGAAGGAAATTGGATGTGACGTTTGGAGAACTACTGCTTGTTTCATGTGTCACCCTCACTTCCATTGCAGAGAGCCACATCACAGTCTGCTCTCTTTTGCTGTGATATGAGTCTCTCAACCCACCTTTAAATCTTGTTCCAGGCTCCTAATGAGCTCTCCATCCACATGGCCTGTTTGTGCAACTTTCAAGCTTTTCTGTTCTGCTTTCCTGAGACGATATTGCAGAATGCGGCAATTCTTGTTTGCCCGGTCCAGCTCTCGCCGGAGCTCCTGCAGCTGGTAAACATCTTCCTCTAAATAGCTGTCACGCATTTCTTCCATCTCAGCCCGAAGTTCATCCAGCTCATCCTGTGAGAAGGCAAAACAGTGCTCCATCATACCTCTAAATCTCACCCATGGGAGCAAAATAGGAAACATGCTCGCTAGGATACCACATTAATGAAATGATACAGATTGCAACACGCAGCTCCAGAAGCCACAGGAACAGAAGTTTTAACCCAACACTGAGTAATTATGCTGAACTAAATTAATGAATACTTGTCATATTTCTTTCAACTGCTTTGATAATTAAAAACAAACCAGATGTTCATGTCCCCTGAAATAGGTAACCTTCATTTTACCATCTCAAGTTAAAATCAAAACTGCACAATACTTTACCACCATTTGAACTGATTCCTTCCTTTAGTTAGACTACAGTAAACCTACTTAACCAAGCACTCCAACATCACTGTGTAGTGTGCCTTTTTATCAACCAACACCTCCTAAAAATGAAATTTTTAGGAAAAAAAGAGTCCCTGGCATGAAATACTGAGATGCTTCACACGGAAGTACTGTCCCATCTGAGCCTAACACTGCACTGGCTTAATGACACATGGATTGTGCGCAGGAGAAAGTGGGGTTTTGCTGTGTGCACACACATCTCAATAACAGGACCACAGGAACCAAACAATGTTTTGCCAAGTATTCCCATGTGCCCATGGGAATAACCTGCTGGTTCTTTTCTGGGCATCATGAACTGTCCCAGTTCCCCGTTGTACCATGTGTAGCACTTGCTCTCTAAAGTCAGATTAAAGATTTACAGCTGAACAGGATAAGCTCTACCATTGCCATTTGTTTAATGCCTGCATGACGGAAGCTCCAAAGCTAGAAGTGTTGTAAAGGTCTTCCAGGCACAGGGGTACAAAGTATTAAACTACTGCATGAGAGAAAAAAAAAAGATTCTTCAAACTGAACAAAGTTGGGGGGGAGGGGGGAATCAAGAAAAAGAGCTAGGAGGAGAATATTTGAAATTGACTATTAATTTTTAAATTGGTTCCTTTAAAATTGCATTCGATATTATAAAGATCAAATTTTCTGTGGAAAACTTCACTTAAATAAGATTCCAGGAGAACTTGTACTGGGTCTAGCTGCACTGTGACCCCACTTCAGATCTGTAAATCACTCTTGAAATACCAAGGACGGCTGGAGATTATTTCACACTTGAAATTCCAAAGGTGGCCAGAGAATATTTCACACTTGTTTCAGGTGGAGAGGGCACTGCTCTGAAGCCAGTACCCTTGACAAAGCTCCCCTGCCCCTGGCTGAACTATCCCTGCCCAGTTCCTGCAAGAACACATCTGCCCATACTCTCCTCTCAACCATTCCCCCTTCCCATGGCATAACCAGAGTGACATATTAATCTTGCTTCATTGGAGTTTGATAACCAGTCCAGGGCAGCTTTTGTCCCTGAGCACAATCCTCACCAAAGGAAAATGGGTAGATGGGTTCTTGAGCCTTGTCAGTTATATTAGAACTACAGTGTTATTCTTACCAAAATCCCGTCCACATATAAATATATAAATACTCCAGTATACAGACATGGTTTAATTTCAATTAGTTGAGCCAGCATAAATTTTGGGTACGCACAAGGCCTGTTATTTCCAGAATTACAGCTCTGGGCTCACCAGTGAGGCTTTGCTCCACCAGCACAGCCCACTCAGGACCCTACACTGTTCTCCCTGGATGCTCTGGAAGGACAGAGGAGTTTTCTCACAAGCCCACTATGTCAGTGTACATTCTCAATATATTCAGATTTCTGCTGAAGGAGCATCCAGTCCCACAGTCTCTCTGGGGCAGGGGCAGGATCAGGATATTTGTGTGGATGGATAAACTCAGGGGTTACTCCCCAGTGAGCTGGATCGTGCTCACACCATACACTGTCTGGAAAGGAGTAGTGTAAGCACAGTCATTGAGGTTACCCTGCAGCAATAACATCCTCACAAGTTCCAAATACATTAATTAAGCACAAACAGCTGACTTCAACGAAGCAAATGAGCTCTGCAGACCAAACCCAGCAGGACTATTTCAAAACAATTTAGGATCCAGGCTCTATCTACTGCTCCTCAGGACACAGCCAAATACTCTGGCCAGTTTACAGCCAACACACTGGTGAAGTTTTGATAAATGATGTATATTTTTAAAAAGAAAAACATAGCAATGCATGCTTGATTGGATTGGAAATGAGACCTGCTTTTCTTTTCTGTGTACACACTTATCACTATGCTTCACATTTATAGACACTTTCAAGAGGTAAAGTAAAAGTTTACCCAGTGAAAATAGGAGATGCAGAAGAAAATGCCAAGATTTCAGAAACTGATTAGAGAGTAGCAGTGGCTTTTGAACCTAAGAAAAGGAGTACACTTGTGCATTATCAGCTTATTATTGAGGTATTTTGGCTAAGGTACTCATACCACAAGTAGAATCTTTACCAATCAGGGCTAACACAGCCCTATGGAATAAACAGGACCAGAGTTATTTCTTAAGGGTTGTCTGCAGACTCAGGTGTTGAATTCACCTCAACTAGACTTAAGTTCAATTAACTTTTAAATGTCATCTTCAGAATGCTAATATTAGATTAGTAATTAGGTTTTAAATTAAAATATTGAAACACAAATCCACAATAAAGAAAAACAACTGTCATCAACAAATTAATGGGATCTGGTCTATAATCTGCTGTTTACATTTAAGAACTAAGCAATGGCTTTCATGCAAAAAGTAGCCTGCAATTATAATGTCATTGCTCATCTCTTAAACTTCCTTCTTATCTTTATCCAGTTTTGTTGGTAGTAAATTTCGTTGGTTTCTAAAGACAAATAATAAACAATATTTGATTTCAAAGCATTTATTGCAACCAAATTTGGAAAGTGAACTTCACATAATTTTAAACAATCAAATCCCTGAAACACTCATCCCATTGAAACTGAATATTTCCAACTCCTATCTGTGGGCATGGGAGCTCTCCCAGCTGTAAAAGCCACTCTGTTGGGGACTTCAATCCAATGTCTTTCCTCACAACAAAGAAGTTCCTCAAAGAGTTGCAAGCATTGGCATGAGTTATGTTTTAGTAGATAGGACTATATTTAATCTCCTGGTAAAACAAAGTTTTCTCAATCTCTCTTATCAGCATAACCATGACTTTGGAAGTCAGTGTTGTGGGGTTTTTTTCTGCTTGGTTGGTTGTTTGGTTGTATTTCTGTTTTGGGGATTTTTTGGGGTCTTGGGGTTGTTTGTTTTGGGGGGGATTTTTTGCGCTATACTTGCCTCTGGTTTTGGTTATAAATACAAGGTTTGTTTTTCTCTAGTGCTCTAGTGTAATTTTACAGATAAATTAAAATTTAGAATGCAATCAAGGAGGCTGTACTTTACAATCTCACACAGTTCTCCTCTCTGATATTTTTTGACTGACACAGTTTCTTTTCCACAATTAATTTATTTTCTTCTTCCAAAATTTTCACATGGAAATCAAACTGTATTCTGACTTCGAGATACAGCACCCTTTGGATGAGCCTTAAAGCAAGGCAACATGAGGCCACAAACAGTTTTGACTGTTTGTATAAGGAGCAGAAACCTCACTGTACATGCAGCATCAGCCCATATTCTGCTGTATTGCTGCAGTGCTTGGGGCTTGAACCTATGTATTCTGTCCAGCCCAGAGAGGAAAAGCACCAGATTAAATCAGACAGATCAAATCTTTTTGAATAGCAATATGAAGTCCTATTATTATATAATAAATATATAGAGAGGAACATGTCATCTCTGGAAAATCTGGCTCAGATTTTGTATGTCAGTCAGCACACAATTACAGATGCTGGGATAACCTTTTACTAAACCATAAAAATTTAACTTTAGTTACAATAAAGACACAATCTTGCTTTCAATACAGGCCACAAGGCCAGTGACAAGGGTGTAGATGCTTTCATTTATTAACAGTTTATTCTCCTTTTGATTCTGCTGTGGACACTGAAACTGTATGGTGAAAGATCCTAAGCCAGAACTGTTACAATGGCACCTGGAAAACCAGAACAGCTTTAACTCTTCCTCCAAAGTGATCCATGCACAGAAAATGAAGGAAGCTAAGTTAAAGACCCATGGAAGGGGAAATTACAACTGAAACTATGATGGTCCTGCTTACTAAACTGGAAAACTACTGCTTTGAAGGAAAACATGTCAATCATTTGTGAACTCAAAGGTAAATGCAGCAAAGCCAAACTGCTCAGCGTGGTGGTTTGCAAAAAAGGGATGCTCTGGCTGCAAGGCAGATGGAAAGAACAGATAAGCCAAACCCTTGACTTTATTAAAATCTATTGTTCTTATACTCTTATTATTGTGAGTTAGAATTAAAGCTCTTCCTCTCAGGAAGCATTGAGCTTCATACCGTAGACTTTAATATTGTAAAATTGAAGAAAGAGATCAGAATAGGCACTTAAAAGTAATTAAAATAAACAGGCAAGAAAGCAGCCATTCCTCTTTGTTCATCTGAAAATGGAGAGCTGCTCCCTTCCCTAAACAGGGAGGACCTGCTCCAGCACTCCAAAGTGGCAATTGAAATTGGGAGGTTAAGTGCTGGCAGCAGAAGCTTCACTTTGCTCTGCATTCCTGAAGGGGATGAAAGCCTCCTCTCGATCCCTTTTCATTTAATGGTAATTATGCTATTATTTTCAGTAAGAACAGCACGAGGCAGAGAGTCCTGCAAGAAGGAATATTGTTTAGGAAATGCTAAAATGCTTTTCTTTCCCTGTGACACTCTGGTCGTCAGAAAAAAATGAATGGAAGTCTGTTTTCTAACTGGCAGCTCTTTCCAAATTTGCTGTAGAAATCCAAGTTGTACCAGCTCCTGAGCCTTTCAGCTCATGGTTTCCCTTGGCCCAAATGAGTTCCTACAGGCCAGCTCTTTGGGGTCCCACAGGAACCACCCTTCTGAGGGTCACAGGGTGGCTGTATGGACTCAGGGCCACATGCAAACAGTGCAAACAGTGCAAACAGCCTCTCTGTTTGCAGGAGTCCCCGGGACTGCAGTGCAAAAACAACAG